TAATAACTCAAGTATTTAACCTAATACTTAGAGTGTATTGCAAATAAAAAGCCTAGACTTCTAATCAGAAAGAAATTATATTTCTTCAAAAGTTTCTTGTCTTTGAATAAGGAAGCGAGTCCTTATATATGCGCAGCTTTGGGCTTGGCTTGAAAACAAATATTCAAATATTTTGAATATTTCCATAAAAACAGGCCAAGATAAAATTATGCAATTTGAAAAATATTCCTCCATATTTTTCGCAGCCTGTAGATCACGAATCCTGAATTATAGAATGCTGGAAATCAGGAAACAAAAGACTTAACTGATTTTGGGCTGAGATAAGTTCAATAGGAAGATTTCAAGACATTTGCTTTGATATCATTCAAACAGTTTTGCTCCAATTGTTAAGACATTTAGCAAAACATTAACAAGTCATTGTTTTACCAAAATTGCTCCCAACAAACACTTACAATGTTAGTAAACATTAGAATGCAGTAAAATAAAAAATACAGAAATTTAAATATGGATGAAACGTGATGTTTGCATGAGTGTTTTCTCGCCATTTGGATCATTGTAAATGATCTAAGGTTACCCTGGGAGTGAGTGGAATTGATTAGAATCACAAGCTTGTGGTGAAAGGTAGTGTAATAAGGGTTTGGGAATTTTAGGGTTCTTGAAAATATTTGGAAAATTTTGGACAAGTTTTGGAGCAAGGATTTATGTCTTGTTCTTGTCTTGAGGTCTGAATATATAGATAATTTTTAGGGAAAAAACAAATGGCTTGGACTCTTGTAAAAAAAGATATGATTTTATCTTATTTATTTTATATTATTAATGAATTAAATCAAAAATAATTAAAATAAAATAAGGCCAAAAGGTGTATGAATGAAATTTGAGGTGTATGAAAGGCATAAACACGTTTGGACCTCCAAACGATGGCCCAATAGTCCAAAACATAAAGCTTGCTCAATTTGGTCTTCATACATTTGCTCAAAATTTCCCAACTTCCAATGATTATAACTCACTCAATTTTTATCATTTGAAAGTGATGTTGGACTTTTTGGAAAGATCAAGATATCCTCTACAACCTCTATGTCAATCATTTTTGCTTTTGAAGACTTTATCTTGATATAAGTTTCCTTGACAAAAAGTATCTTTTTGTTGACTTTTGAAATGACCTGTAATGTATTGACTTATATCTCTCAAATTATGCATTTTTTGGACTTGAGCATAGAGATTCAAAGTTATAGAGAATTGAATTCCCTTCAAAATAGACTTTAGTTGGAGAAAATCTGATGAAGCATGTGAAAGTTATGCTTGGTCAAAGTTTAGTTGACTTCTCCTAAGGAAACCATAATTTGGCAACTTTTGACTTTTGATGATTTGAGGGCTTTTCTTGAGGAATCATGATCAAACTTTGATCAAATGATGGTTGTGGCTTCAAAATGTTGATGTTGACCAAAAATATTGAGGTCTGACTGTATGTTGACCATAGTTGATTTTTTATCCAATATAGTTTATTTTCCATCATCTGAGCAATTAACTGAGCAAACTTGTGATGCAAGACTTGAAACTTGACATGAGAATTCTTGAACACATATGAGGACCCATAAAAACCACTTGAGACCTTGAGAACCCAATCTTACTTTTGAAACACAAAACCCTAGTTGTGGACCCATTGCTTATGAGGAGAATTTGTCTGATCAATTCCTTAGCCACCTTGAGCAAATGAGGATTTCATGAGAATGTCTTGAAGGAAAATGGAGGGCAAATTTTGGGGTACAACAATGACAGATGTGAAGAACATAACAGACAATCATCATGACAAAGATGTAAGATGATGATAACTATAAAGGATCAAATAAGATAACATTCAACATAGTAAAATATGCAACCATTTAGAAAGTTAGTTAATGTAATCAAGAAGTCAAAGATGCAAGCCATAGGTTTGATAGAGGATTGACAAAGTCTCAGTTGAAAATCCCCGTTGAAGGACCAAAAAAGATTCAAAATAGAACAAAGTTCCAGACAAAGGTAAACAAGTATATTACATCACAAGCTTTAAAAATGGGATCTCAAGCAAGGTGTCAACACAATGAATACATCAGGCAAATGCTTCAGAAAGTTACTCCAATTTAGTAAGTGAGTGAAATGTTTGTAGAAGCAAAAATTCCTTCTCTATAGAGGTAGTTAGCTATAAGAGCACACAAACTTAAAACATTTTTATAGAATATATTTGAAAAGAAAATACCTTGAAGAAATATGTAGAAGTTGCTAAGAAAATGATGGGAACATTCAAAAGTCGGAATTTTTTTTACTGGATCTAATCGATTAGTACAAAGTGTCAATCAATTAGATTGACACACTTTGAGGATAAAGGAAGTTTGAATGTACCAAAACAATTAGAAACAACTACTATCACTTCTTACCTATTTTGGAAATCATAGTTGTTATGTTTAAATGATTTAATCGATTGGTAATAATCATTTTTTATTCAATGTTGTTTCCTCTTTTGAAGGATTTGAAGCCTATAAATAGATCTCTCATTCCCCGATTTAAATCATCCAGAAGAAGAATTGTGTATTGACACACTCTCTCTCTCTAAGTTTTCATTTTCACTTTCTCTCACTAGTTCTTATAGCCAAATACTTTTGTGAGGAAAGATCTTTTGTGAGTGAGATGTTGTAATTATGGATGGGTAGCATTATAAAAGTTCTTCAAGAATGTTATTTATGCATCTTGGATGAACACAATCTATTTAAGGATAAAAATATAAGGTTGGAAGCTAAACTTGTTAAAAGCTTTGGTTGGAGATTGTATGATCAGTTACTGATATTTAGTTAGGTTGAAGATTGTTAACATGGTTGAACTTCCCTTAAGGCTATTATAAAGCTTTGTCCATTTGAAGGATGAAGTTCTTCAATATTGATGAACTTACCATTAGGTTCATGGCACTACTACAAAAATCCCGTCTCACGTTGAACGTGAAATGCGTTTTACCTCAACATCTGAAACGAGGTAAATAAAGTCGTCATGAAAAATAAAGACTTATCACCTTAGTGTTTAAAACACCGAGGGGTATTTTAATAGCGCATGGATTCAATCCACACCGTCTGTATTTTTATTATTTACAATTGTAGCACCTCAAGTATCTCGGGTTATCAATAAAACCGAAGGGTAAACTATTAGTATTTTTTAATTTAAATTGGTTACATTGTTTACACAGAAAATTAATAAAGTAACTTGTTTACAAAATACAGTGTTTACCCATATTATTAATCTGGTTACATTGTTTACACAAAAATATCAAAATAAAAATCAAGTTGTCCATGAAGATCATATGTTGGATCTTCAAATATTTGAATCCATGAGAATATTTAAATTACTGGAAACAATATGTTTTCGATTTCTTTTCCTTGCATTTGTTTCTGATATAAACAAAAAAAGGTTAGATAAATAAATAACTTTATGTTCAAATAAACATTTAAGAACATAAACCTTAAACTCAAATAATTTTCTGTTTTTGCAATTCATCTTAGAGAACTCTTCATGACCGGGACTCTTACAAATCTTAAAGTGGAGGATAGTTTCAAGCGCTTCATGATGTTGTATTGTGAATTTTTTATATTCATATTGCTTTTATAATAGAAGTTATTTAAGTTTCACACGATCATTAATGGAAGTGTCTTGAATGTTGATAGTGATGAAAATGGACGGTAAAGATTTGATTAAGGACAATGACAAATATCTTCAAAATTAACGCCAAAATATTCCCTTGAGTGGACTGATGTTTTGTTTGAATGGTTCTCCGACGTATTATTTTCGTTTACTTAGCAAAGTGATGGTTTTGTTTTGACCTCAAAAACTTATCAGAATTTGTTTTAAATTATTGATCGGTGGTGGTATGACTTGTCACTGATTTTTTTCTAATAGATTTAAAGAAAGACAAAGTATATATGTAGTAAGTTGTTTTCATTAAGTATGTTAAAGAATTTGTAATAATAAATTAAAAATTTATGAAAATTTGTATAAACATATAACCTCAAATAAATTAATCCAAACATCCTTAAATCATAATATGTGCATACAATACTTTTCTTAAGTGTCAAGTGTGTGTCTATGTTGTAATGTACTCGTGCTCCCCTTTAATCATCAAATTTCGTCGCAATATATTGCTTGTGTTCCCATTTGAACTTTGAAGTCAGTGGTCTGCTCATAATGCTTACTTACCAAATCTCCAAACTCAAAGTCATGGTGGGTAGCACCTTATGAGTGCCGAATGTGGACCATTATGAATTATTCTTATAGTCACACCACTACCAAGAAAACAAGAAAAATGTATATCACTTCATTATGATCCAAATTGAAAACAAGCATCACTAGGAATGAAAACACACATACATCTATGTTTTTAATGACATCCAATAAGGAGAATTTTTTTAAATTGAATTCATGTGAGTGGTTATGATAAGAATGAATGAGAAAATTTTATAATTATTTTATAATTAATAAAAAATCGTGATTGATTATATGTAAATCCACGTGTTTGTTTCTGCCTAAAAAATTTCCCACCTACTAGCCACTATATAACCAATTTCTCTATCCATCTATGTCCATTTCCCATTGAAAACATGGTTTCATCAAAACATTATCAAGTTCATTTTCAATCACCTTGTTTCTTTGTCTCCACATAGTAAATTCTCAGATCATTGATGTTCCAATATTATCTCCAGTATTAACTCCATTAGTCCCTGACCTATTAAACTTCTTAGATCAAAGACTGGAATTAGTTTTCTCAATCATTCAATCCTTCAAAAACACAATAACCTCAGATCCATTAGGAATAACCTCAACATGGGTTGGTTCAGATATATGTAAGTACAAAGGCTTTTACTGCGATAACCCACCGGATAATTTCTCCGCCACCACCGTTGCCTCCATCGATTTCAACGGCTTCAACCTCGCCTCCCCGTCTCTGGATAATTTCATCGATCAACTCCCTGACTTAGCTCTCTTCCATGCAAACTCCAACAATTTTTCAGGTACTATTTCACCAAAAATAGCATCACTCAAATATCTATACGAACTCGATCTAAGTAACAACATGTTATCTGGAACATTTCCAACCCTCGATCCTAAACATGCCAACACTTTCGTTTTTGGATATTAGGTACAACATGTTCACGGAACAGTGCCTCAACAAGTCTTTGTCAAACCATTGGATATAATTTTTCTCAATAACAACAACTTTCTTCTCACACTTCCCAACAATATAGGCGAAACAACAGCATCTTATATCACATTAGCTAACAACAAATTCTCCGGTCCAATTCCTCCTAGTATAGGAAAAGCATCATCCACTTTAACCGAAGTTTTGTTATTAAACAACCAATTAACAGGCTGTCTTCCTTACGAAATAGGTTTCCTCCAAAACGTGGAACTTTTCGACGCGGGTAGTAACCTTTTAACAGGTCCATTACCTTGGTCATTTGCGTGTTTGAAGAAGGTGGAAGAGTTGAAATTTGATAGGAACATGTTGTATGGTCAGGTTCCAGAAGTGATTTGCGCCTTGGAGAGTTTGTCGAATTTAACATTGTCTTATAACTATTTTAACAGATTGGGACCATTGTGCAGAAGGCTTGTAAAAATTGGTGTGCTTGATGTGAAGAATAACTGTATTTTCGATCTTCCTGATCAAAAACCAATGGAGGAGTGTGTGAAGTTTTCTTCACTTCCGAGAACATGTCCGCGTCCTGGAACGTTTAATCTTATACCGTGTGAGAGTCCAACACGGGCAAAACCCCCCGGAAATAAGAGGAAATTGTTGTCATATTCTGCTCTTGAGAGAAAGAGAATAGTTCTGAGTTAAAATACTGGAGAAATGTACACCTGATTTTACAGGTCTATATGTATATGTTTCACATGTTGCTGCTTTATACATCAGTCACTTAACGTGTAATTGCTAGCTGCAGAATATTTACAATTCAGTTAACAATAACAAAGTAATACAACCATTGTAGGAGATTCATATATATTAACAAAGTAAATACTACTATTATAGTCTGCAACATTTCTTTTCTTTTTTAAATAAAAACCAACTATAGAAGAGAATTGCTTAAGGCGCTCCTTAAATATTGCTCCTCTAGAAAACCAAAACTTCTAGAATTTGGAAATATATATATATATATATATATATATATATATATATATATATATATATATATATATATATATATATATATATATATTGGAAATATAATTTAGTTAATGTCTACAATTCCCAATGGTTATTCTTTAATATGACTTTTTGGCATTTTAATTTTTAGTATAAATATGCTATCTAGGCTATCAATATTTTAAGTTATTCATTCCTCTTTTGATATACAATAGTAGTCCTTTTTGTTATCATTCATTGCTCATCTCTTCTTCTCCCCTTTCATTACCTTGCACCAACAATATTCCATCTCACACTTCTGAAACCTCTGCTTCTTGAAAAATGAATCAATTTTCAGATTCCAAGCTCTAGGCGCTTGCTTCAGTCCATACAGAGCTTTATTTAACTTGTATATCATCCCTTCCTAATTCTTTTTCACAAATCCAGGAGGTTGTGACACATAAACTTCTTCCTGTAATGGACCGTTCAGAAATGCAGACTTCACATCCAGATGC